TTTGTGTACACTGAAAAGTGCTTCAAATCCAAAATCAGGGAATCCAGAGTGCACTTTTCCAAGGTTTCAGGTTATGAGATCAAATCTTTCTTCCCCAGAACTATGACAGTAAATTCCCTGCTGGGTACTGGCAAGATTGATAGATACCACCAGGTGATAGTGTGACCATCTTGGCCATGCCCTACATCAGGGGCCTCTGACACATAAGTGAGAAAAAAATATCCCTCACCCACATGGGCTCCCCAATTTTAGGGGGAGCCCCAAGCCTCAGGGACCAGATCCAAGCAAGCTGGGGGCTGCATCCGGCCCTCAGGCCTTAGGTTCCCCACCCCTGCCTTAGGTATTGCCCCGAATTTAAGAGTTGAAGAAAGGCAACTGCAATGGAATGTTTCTCCCAAAAAGGTACAAGAGAACTACCCCACCGCAGAACAATCCTACTGAGATCTTTCACTCATGCTAGTATCAAGAGAATAGTCTCCTTTCCTTGTCCCCAGTATGCTGTCTGAAGTAAAACGAGAGAGGCCTATCAAACTTCTGGATATGGATTCAGATGTTCAAACTTTGACAGATGACAGTGTTGGCGTATTGTCCTAATTCAGCAAAATCAGACAAAAGATGGTTCTACGTAAAAATCCTTTTGTTAACCTTACAGGAAACTGTAGATCCAGTTTTCAATATTGTGAGTTCACCTTTCAGGTATTCTGAATGGTTTATTGCAGCCAGCAAACATACTTGATTAAAGTCAGCTTCTGGGCCAGGAGTATTTGTTTGGGGTCTTGTTTTGTTTGTTTTTTGTTTTGTTTTGTTTTGTTTTTTAATAGACAAGATAACTATCTGTGACTTGGAAACTTCTTGTGTATCCAGATACAGATTCATTAGTAGTAGTGGTGACTGTCATTAAAAATGCTGAAGAGTAACAACTCCACTATAGCATTTCAGATAGACAAAGTGAGAAGCTAGGCTCTGCATGCAATGATATTCTCCTGTGCCTTATTTGGGTATTACCAGGGCTGTCCCTAGGGCACTGGTCACCAATCAGTAGATCGGGATCCACTGGTAGATCTTGGAGTCTCTGACAGGTGATCCTGAGTGGTTTGGCCAAGAGGGTATCAAGTGCTGGCACTTCAGCTGTCCCTGCCCCTACTGCTGCGCATCTCCTGCCCTTTGCCTTGGAGCTGCCTTCCCCCACCCCCAGGAGCCTCTTGCGTTTTGGGCAGTGCAGGGGAGGGGAGGGAGAAAAGGGGCACTGATGTCAAGGTGCCCTCTCTCCCACTCTGTATCTCCACAGAGAAGAGAGGGGGCACAACAGGACTTGTGATGGAGGGAGTTTTCTGGCTGCTTTTTGGAGTAGTACAGGACTAGGGCAGGGTTGAGCCTGCCTTAGCTCCACTGCACTACCACCCAGGAGCCACCTGAGGTAAGCAGTGCCCAGTCGGAGCCCATATCCTGAAACCCTACCCCAGCTGTGATCCCCCTCCGGCACCCCAAGCCATTGCCCTAGTCCCGAGTACCCCTGCATCCAGATGCCTGCACCTAGAACCCCCTTCAGCACTCCAGCTGCCTGCCCAAGCTCACCTCAGAGCCCCTCTCACACTCCAAATCCCTTAATCCAAGACCAGAGCCTTCACCCCAACCTGCTGCCTCTGCCTGGTGAAAGTGAGGGAGAATGGGAGAGGAGAGGAGGATGGAGTGAGCAGAGGCGAGGCCTCAGAGAAGGGGCACAAAGGAGGCAGGGCAAGGGTATTTGGGTCTGAGGTAGATCTTGGACTGCACTTAAATTCAAAAAGTGATCTCATGCTTACAAAGGTTGGAGACTTGTGCCCTGGGGGGATGTAGGTCTGGGGCTGAGATGCTCTGCTTCTTGCTGCTGTGGTGAATCCAAGTGCAGTGGGATAGAAGAGGGGAGCAGGCTGACAGGTCACTCCAGCTCCCGACACCATGGTGAATGTGGGAGGGCTCAGACCTTGCTGCTGCCCCTCACCAGACCTCCAGGTAATTCTCTGAGCCACCCTGGGACCCGTCCGTAGGATGGTTAAAGCGACTTCCATGGGGACCCCCGAAGCACGGAGTGTGGGGCAGTCAGCCCAAACTGTCCTGTGGCTCTGACAGAGGCAACCAATCAGGCAGTAGTGTCCACCTACAAATATTAGTAATGGGAGAAAATAACATTGTTTGTCCAGTCATTACCTGAGCACTAAGGAACACTGGCCCAAGCTCAAACTGTGTGTGCTTCAACACTTTTATGATGTGATATGTGGGGCTGTTGTTGCATCCATAACTAATGACTTAGCATTACATTCATTTTGACTTCCTCTGGAAACAAACCGAAAGAGGGGATCTTCCATTTTATGGTGAAATGCTGTTTAGCTTTTGAACAGACAGAGTTGTAGAGCAGAAGTTTTCATACTGTGGTCTACACGCTCCATTCAGGCCATCTGTGGATATTTCTGTAGCATTGACACTTGACAATTAGTTCATACTTTTTCACAACATTTTCTAGATAAGATGCACAATTTGGTAAAGCAGCATTACATTTTCTATTTTGCTAGATCTCCTTGTTCCATTATCCTGGGAGGAATGCTGATTATTGAACTCCCACAAGTGGGCATGTGAAGAGGTTTCTTCAAGAAAAAATGAAGGTTACCTGGAGATTTATTCTTCACTCTCTGACTCCCTACCCATCTTCCCCTCTTGGAGTCCAAATTTCAGCTTTGGACTTAAGGGGAAGGTAAAAGATGCTTAGGTGGTCTCTGCATTATGCCCTTTTTTAATAGTTCTGTCCACCAAATATTCACAGCAGCAAGGAGAGAGGCAGGAGACACAAGAATGCTTCAATAGGCATTGTTATTAGAAGCTTTCTCCAGTTCACGATGCACCATTGGTGTAACCCAGCAGTGGGAATGTTCAGAGGTCATCTCAGATAATACTGTTTACAGGTGAATCTTCATTTTCTAAATTTTTAAAGGTATGACTCATGCATTCATTTCAATTTGGAACTGCATTTTCTGCACCTTATCACTGTCAGTATAGCAGTTTCCTGTTCTGCTCATTATTATTTTTATTACAAGAGACTTTATTCTTGGGTAGAATAGAGACTTACTCTTTCATTACGAAGTGTAGTGTAATCTGTAGTGGTACTATTAGACTCTGTGATAATACAGATGATGATAATTTACAGGATCTTCATTACAGTTTTCTACAAACCAGAACAATTTTGAGATTTGGAGATTACTAATAGTTGTGCCAGGTTAAAGTCTCTGAAAATGTATTTGATAATTAATAGGCTTCAGTAGAGTATACAACAATGTAGAAATTTTAAATTGCTAACAAGTGCATGTACATAAAGCATGATATGTTAGTGCAATGTATTGAACTGAGTTGATATTTTCTTTTCATTTTTATAAATTGAAATAAATATTTAAATGTAATATGATGTTAGCCCTTGAGAAGGTTTGAATAGAAATCCCCATCTCTGGAGATATTTAAGAGTAGATTAGATAAATGTCTATCACGGATGGTCTAGACCAGTGGTCCCCAACCTTTAGAGGCTCCCGGGCACCTGGGGGTGAGGCCACTCATGTGGCGGGTGCCCGGGGACGGGGCCACTCGTGCCCGGGGCCAGGGGTCACGCATCCGGGAGCACGCCAGGGGACTGGGATGCCCTTGCACCCGGCGCTGGCATGTGCCCTAGGGCCGGGGCCACGGCCGCCCCAAGCACCTTGTGCCCAGGGCCGGCGCTGCCGCCCGAGCCGCACCCCTGGGGCTGACACCGGCGCCGCTCGAGCGCCCGCATATGCCCCAGGGCTGCGGCCACCCGAGCATCGCACACCCGGCGCCGGTGCATCTTGAGCGCCTGGGGCCGGCGCCTCCCATGTGCCGCGGGCGGGGCTGGCCCAGGTTGTCGGTGGGCGCACACAAATGCCCCCACGGGCGCCATGGCGCCCGCGGGCACCACGTTAGGGACTGCTGGTCTGGACAATATTTGGTCCTGCCATGAGGGCAGGGGACTGGACTCAATGACCCCTCGAGGTCCTTTCCAGTCCTAATATTCTATGATTCTATGAAATAAATTCATCAATAAAAAATAATTGCAATCTATCATCTTAAATATAATTTTACATTCATTCTCTTTAAAACAAACTATTTTGTCTTCCCTCTTTGTTAATAGTTGTTAATAGAGATCCTGTGTTCAGATGCTTATGTTTGGAATGTTCACTTAATCATTTTATTGAATGAACTTCAAAGATTTGATTCTGCACTATTGAAATTAATAGGAACAGGAGCAAACCCTAAATGTATTATCATATTAAAGACCAGATTGAACCTCTCTAGTCAGACACACTCGAGTCTGGCAACATCCATGATCCAGCATGATTTTAGTTAGCCAGATGATCACTTACCATGGGTGTGCCCAAGTTTCCCACAGTCCCATAAAGTTTGTTTATAGCCACCAGTCCTGGCTCTCAGTGTTCTGTGTTATTTAGCTTTAATTGACCCCTAAATGTCTTCTAAGAGCCCAGTAAGCAGTGGAAGTGTTGGTAATGCTGCTAGACAATATTGACCTCCTGAGGTCTGGCAAATTCCCTGGTTTGACACTGGTCAGATCCAGATGGTGCTAGAATAGAGAGGTTCAGTCTGTACTTCGGGTAAATTGGGTATGATATGACTTGTTTTTATTCTACATTCTTTGAGATGGCAAAATAGAGTTGTGAATGGATTAGAAAACTCTGATAGATGGCTTTAACTGGAAAACTCCTCTGATGTTGTTATAAATTGGTATGCCTTTGTTGTAGTGATCTAGTCATCTTACCCTGTATCTCATGCTTTATTTCACTTTTTACCTATTTGCATATGCAGCTTTTATGAATGCTATTCCACTTCTTACTGACCAGTTTTATCAGCCTTGTTATTTTTACTAATAGCTAATATTGCTTCAAGCCGAATAAGTATGTGCTTATTTTAGAATGCTCATTTGTTAGTTACTTAATTCTTTTTCACAGAACAGCAAAAACTGGAGAGCAGCAGTTGACCTGTGTGGACGACTTTTGACCGCCCATGGTCAAGGATATGGCAAAAATGGGCTACCTACTAATCATACAACAGATTCTTTGCAGGTATGGTCACTTTACATTCATGTGTTGTGGTTATAGCTGTTAAAAGTTGTGTGATATGGTAACCATGTAGCCATTAAATATCCTGTCCGTTACGCAGTTAACTGTTTCTTTTACAAAGGAAATTTACTACAGCCCACTGCAGTCTCTGCGGTAGGAGCTGGCAGACTCAGTCCCGGCATGTCCTAGGTCTTGGCAGCTGCCCCTGCTCCTACCTGCCCCCGCTATGGGTCTGCATTTTAAAAAACGTGAAGCCAGCAGGCAGGCTCCCCAACCCACCCCCAGTGTGTCCTTTCCCTTCTGTGACAGAGTGCTAAGCAAGAATGCCTGAGCCAGCCCTCTGGTCATAGAAGCTCCAATCAAACAGTATAGAATGGAGCTGGTGAAATAGATCTGAGCCTAACTTGTGGATGGAGAAGAGATAGAAGGCTAATTAAGCCATTGGGCAGAGGCTACAAATAGGCACAAGACGAAGCAGAAATAGGGGAAAGTAGGCATCAAATGGAAGAGAGACATTGCTCTTCCCTACTTTAATCCTGGGGGAATTCTGCACCACTGCGCACATACATAATTCACGGACAATGCAGAATTGTTTTCTCGGTAGAAAATATATTCTGTCAAGAACTGCAGTTATACTTTTTGTGGCACCAGAATAGAGAGCAGCCACTCCTGGGCAGAAGAATCCCCAGATGCAGGTAGGAAAAGAAGAGGATGCATTTTCACAGCCTGATCCATGGGGACAGGTCAGGAGGCAAAGAATATGGGGAGATGATAGCGTGGGGCTGTTCGGAGGTGACAGACTGGGGTTCAGAAGGGCTAATGTCAAGGACAGACTGGATCAGGGGATGAATCAAAGTGGGACTGCAGGAATTTATGGGAATGGGAGGAGGAGTGCAAGGACGGATGAGAGCAGGGATGCTGAGACACAAGAGAACAGGGGGATAAGTCAGGGACACGAGGCCAGGGCAGATATTGTTATATGTTAGACAGCCTCGCTAAAGAATAAATTACCAAAATAATTGAAACAGCTGTACATTATGTTGTTTTGGCAAATGAAATATGCAGAATTTTGCAAAACTTTAAAATATGTTCTGCAGAATTTTTAATTTTGGAGCAGAATTTTTATATTTTTCGCACATAATTCCCCCGGGAGCACTGCTTGTTGCAGGAGCTGGTGGCTTCCTAGGACTGTTAGAGCAGAGCTGAACAGGGTATGTAGTTGATGGGAACTCACACTATAAGTAAACTACACAAGGTGTTTGAACAGCACAGAGGTCTCTGAACAGTTTGTTGACCAGAGGAGAGCCAAAGGGCCCTGTCACACCTAGCCTAACTTATTTCTTCTTTTTCCTTTGTTTTCTCCTTTTTCTATAATAAGAGTCTGGTTTAGCCAGCCCCTCACTATGCATTTTTCAACACTTCTGTAAATCTGTGACCAGAAAGGTATCTAATTGCAATGCCATAAACAACCTGCTGCTCACACAAGTTTTCCAGGTCTTGGAGTGGCTGATAAAACCATATGCTGTGAGGTTGCAACTAAAAGTCAGTGCCAGACAGATCTTCATTTTCTCTTTCCTGTTGTTTTCTTTCCCTTTTTTGTATTTGTCTTGCTTCGCCTTCTAGGAAACAGGATTGGGCTTTGACAGAAATGATGGTTCCAGCCCATTTCAACTGACTTATGTTTTTCCCCAGTGTCACTGTGCCTCAGTTTGTCACAATTGAGAATAACAGAATCAGAACCCATATTCTAGCTAGAGCATCCACAGGAAAGTTGATCTGGTGGAGATAAACTTCGTCCCCGGCCAATTGTATTTGTTGATGGACCATTAATTAGAATGCTTCATTGACAATTTGCTGGCTAGACTTGATATAAACTATATATTGTGGGTGTTACGGCACTACTAAACCATCTGAAATACAGGTATCCAGTCAGTATTCATAATTTCAGTTGCTAAAATGAGATATGCATGCAAATAGGATAATCACATTTAGCAAACCGTAACTGTTCCATTGACACATTACATAACCTATTTTTGTGCAAGATTTGTTGCAGTCATAACAGTGGTAGCAACAATGATCTACATTGTCATATTTTAATAATTAATGTCACAACCAGAACACAATTGTTACCATCTTTAATACCATCTAAGAAACTTTCTTATTAGGAGGGTGGGTTGTTTTTTTTCCTTTTGAAGACTCTCTTCAGCTAATGGCAAAGGGACCAAGGATGATGTGAAAATGAAAGCCTTACTTAAAATTTTACATTTCAGGTGCTTTAACAGTTTTTGATACTTAATTGTGTGTTCATCATGGTACTAAAAAGGCTGAGGTCTCTGTATGCCAAACCCTAGGCTTTGTTTAAAACTGTTCAGTGTTCTACAGGTTTAGGGCTGGTTTTGGCTCTTCAGGATCCTTTATTCTATTTAATTTAATTTAATAATACAGACCTCTCTAGAAACTTCCACTCAAGGGCCCAATGCCTCACACCTGATCAAAATATCACTTTCCTAGGTTCTACTCTTTTTCTTATTAGCTTTTTCAAAATTGCGACTTGACAAATGTGTATTTTAGTTATGCAAATCTGAGATTAGTTTTTCATTGTTTAATTTACTATGCCTGAAATGATTCAAACACTGAAAGTAATTTTTAAGTTTGATTTACCATAGAAGCCAATAGCTTACCTTGAATTTTCATATCTGTTGCCATTTTAGCTATGGTTTGTGAGACTAGCACTGCTGGTAAAGTTGAATCTTTTCCAAAATGCAGAAGTGGAATTTGAACCATTTGGAAATCTGGATCAGCCTGATCTGTACTATGAATATTACCCTCATGTGTACCCAGGACGCAAAGGTAAAGCTGTACTTTTATGCCGTACTTTTATGTTTGCTGTGGACAATCTTCTAAGTACAGAGATTGCAAAAAATAAACCCAAGCTATCATCAGTTTTGTTTAAATGGAGTGAACTTCTAGCTACTGCTTAGAAGAAAAAGATTGACAGTTATGCTGATGCATTGTTTATATTCTAGAGAGAGGGTAAAAAGAGCTTTTAATATTGTAGGCAGCTAGCCTTCTAAGTATAATCCAATACAGTATATAGTATCGATCCAAAAGACACAGTTTTCATTGGTATTGTACCCTTAATTAGTGATAGCATTTTATATAGAGCTTTTATCTAATGTGCTTAGAATTTTAAAAAACTAAAAAATAAAAGGTGGTAATATATATTTTTGGTGGAAAGTGGGCAGATATATATGGACAGTGTCATGCAGAATGAGGAAAAAAGGATTGCTGAATAAAAGAAAATTCCCCTTTTGTCTTTCCTTCCTAAAACTCATTAATTGTGCTGTGGACAGACTACATTTGCAGGAACAATAAACATCTGAAGAGTTGAGGTAGAGGACTAGGTAGTGAAGAAAGATTAAAAGGTTAAAAAAAAAGAAACTTTGACTGATACCAATGAGGACCTTATGAAATACATCCTAGGATACTTAAGGAGCTGATAGAGGAGGTATGTGAGCTGTTAGCTATCACCTTTGAAAAGTCATGGAAGAAGTCAGGAGAGATTCCAGAAGATCGGAAAAGGGCAAATATAGTTCCCATCCATAAAAAGGGAAATAAGAACAACCCAGGAAATTATAGACCAGTCATCTTAACTTCTGTGCCAGGGAAGATGATGGAGCAAATAATTAAGGAATTAATCTGCAAACATCTAGAAGATAATAAGGAGATAGGTAACAGAACAGATCCTGTCAAACCAATCTGATAACTTTCTTTGGAAGCATATCAAGCCTTGTGGATAAGGGAGAAGCAGTAGACATGGTATACCTAGACATTAGTAAGGCATTTGACATGATCTTGCATGATCTTCTTATCAATAAACTAGGGAAATACAACCTAGATAGGGCTCCTATAAGGTGGTGCATAACTGGCTGGATAACCATTTTCAGAGAGTACTTATTAATGGTTCATTATCATGCTGGAAGGGAGTTCCACAGAAATCTGTTTTGGGACTGGTTCTGTTCTGTATCTTGATCAATGATTTAGATGTTGACATAAAGAGTACGCTTATCAAGTTACAGCTGATACCAAGCTGGGAGGGGTTGCAAGTGCTTTGGAGGATAGGGTCATAATTCAAAATGATCTGGACAAACTGGAGAAATGTTCTGAGATAAATAGGATAAAGTTTAATAAGGACAAATGTGAAGTATTCCACTTAAGAGAGAACAATCCGTTTCACACATACAGAATGGGAAGCGACTGTCTATGAAGGAATAGTACAGAAAGGAACCTAGGGGTAATAGTAGGCCACAAGCTAAATATGAGTCAGTAGTGTGACACTGTTTTAAAAAAAAAAAAACATGATTCTGGGATGTATTCACAGGAGTGTTGTGAGCAAGACACGAGAAGTCATTCTTCACTCTACTCTTGCACTGATTTAAGGCCTCAGTTGGAGTATTATGTCCAGTTCTGGGCACCACATTTCAAGAAAGGTGCCCCCCCTGCCCAGGGCCCCACCTGCAACCATGCCCAGGGTCCACCAATACCCTGCCCCCTGGCCAGATCTGTCCCCTGCTCAGGGCCCCACCAGCTCCCTACCCCAGTACTCTGCCCCTGCCTCCTAGACAGACACCCACCAGCACCCTGCTCCTGCCCCCTTCCTCCTGTCCAGACACCTACTCACAGCTTGCTCCTGTACCCTATTTTCCAGCCAGATTTTGCATCTCATCCCTATCCCATTCACTGGCACACTGGATCCCTCTGACACACTGGAACCCTCATTTTTTGCCCCACCTCAGAGTGTAGAGGGGCCCAACATTTTATTTACCCTGGGACTCCAGAAGAGTTTATCTGGCCTGAGGCCTTGAACCTCAGTTCTACCTACTCCCCCTCCCCCATGGAGCTGGGGTGCCAGGGGAGGGAGGTGTCTCAGTTGGGGCCACATCAGTGTGTCTTGAAGGGTGTGTTTTTATTTCTTCTTTCTTTTTTTTTCCTCTCACTTGTATGGTTCCTGACTGATTTTTCTGTGGATCAGTGACCCTTGACCCAAAACAGGTTCCCTGCCCCTCCCATAAATAAAGACAATGCTGAAATGTTTGTGTTGGACATATTTTATTTAAAAATGAAGCCTGGCCAGCAAGCCCCCATCTGGCTGCAGCATCATAACACACCTGCATCCGTATACACACTCCCACCCTGAATCTATCATACACCGGAACCCCCTGTCCTGAGTCTCTCACGTCCCCAGTCTTCTGCCACAACATTACTGCACAATCCACACACTGCAAATCTGTGTCTATGCCCATCATGCTCCCAACCCCCCCTCAAACACAGCAACCTGACCTCCTGCACCCTCATATCCACAACCCTGTTGTTTGCTCAGTACCCCAACCCTTCACCTGACCCCAACACTCTCCAACCTGGAGTCCCCTCCCTGAGTCAGCAGCCCCTTCTCCACCTCCTACTGCACCCAAATTCCCTCCCAGAGCTTGCACCTTTCACCCCTTCCCACACCCAAATCCCTCACTCCCTCATTTTAAACCTATGATTTCCCAACTTGTGAAGAAAATGCATCATCATCCTTCATATTAAATTTGTTTCTTTTCTGCTATTTCTTATGTTAAATTACATTGTTAAATTTTTGTGCCAAGAAAAACTTATTTGTACTTATTTTTAATTTTAAATAATTTTTATACCAAGCTTTTGTGTTTTATTTTTAATTTTAAATTACAAATTGAATTTTCTGTTAAAAGGGCAGTTGGATGATGGCGAAGAAGAAGTGGGGAGGCGTGAGGGTTTCTCAAAATCAAGAAGGGGGTGTGATGCTGAAAAGTTTGGGAACCACTGACCTAGATGGTGCTTGGTCCTGCCATGAGGGCAGGGCACTGGACTTGGGACCTCAAGAGGTCACCTTCCAGTTCTAATATTCTGTGGTTCTATGAAAGGTTACAAGCAGCATACAGTACTTCACTCCAAAGTGAAGTATTAACTTCAGTATTGCTACAGACTGAACCTCTCTAGTCTGGCAGCCTCAGCATCTGACTAGTACTGAACCAGAAAATTTGCTGGACCATCGGAGGTCAATATTGTGTAGCAGCATTACCAACATTTCAACTGATTAGCGGGATCTTAGAAGACATTTAGGGGTAAATTAGAGCTAAATAGCAGCACTGAACACTGAGAGCCAGGACAGGGAGCTGTAAACAAACTCGGTGGGATCACAGGAAACTTGGACACACCTATGATATGTGGACATCTGGCTAACTAAAATCATGCTGGACTACGGATGTTGCCAGACCAGAGTGTCTGACTAAAGCGGTTCAACCTGTACTTTTAGCTTTTGTTCAATGTGTTCAAAAAATTGTATTAAATCAAAGCTGTTTGTCACTGTAAAATGTTAGTTACTATAAAAAGGCATAAAATTAAATTCAGAGCTAATCTGAGAATTAGAAATGGCTTTCATAGAAAAAAAACTAATCAAATGTGATATTAACCACCTGCTTAGTAATTAAAAGAATATTAATAACAAGGTTCACCCCAGATCTCAGGCACATCCAGATGCTGAATGAAAAAAATATTGCTAATATTGAATAGATTTCTGTCCTTCTGATCATGTTATCTCACTGAGGTTCCATAAATTTCAAGTATCACTGTTGGAGTTCAAAAAGTAAACTTACTAACTATATGTAGGTGACTTTCAGTGTTTTAAACTTTAACAACACAGCAGAATTGGTGCTAAATTTATCATAGTCGTTTTTTATTTGAAGAAAATATTCTTATGCAATATTTCATAAGCGATAAAGTATAGGTTGGAACTCCCTGGCCCACCACCCTCTGAAACAAAGGATTTTGCTGGACCGGGGAGGTCCCCTGCTGCCGGCCTCCCAGCCTGCTGCCCCTAACTGCTGCCCCGGCCCCTGTCCAATTTGGAGTCTCTTCAACAAAGGATTAATGGACACAAAACATATATCAGACATGGTAACACACATAAACCTGTAAGGGAACATTTTAACCTTTCTAGTCAAATTCTACAAAGGAATTTCACAACCCAGTTGGAGAGAGAGATGCAGAACTGGAATTCATTTACAAATCTGACACTGTTACACTGGGCTTGAATAAAGACATTGGCTTTGTAGCATCAAAAGTTATGAATGGGACAAATCATGCCTACTTAATTAGCATCATTAACACAGGTCTTACAATTGATAGGTACTTCTTTTGCTATTATATATATCTTGGATTCTGTTATTTCCACTCTAACTCATCTGATGAAGTGGGTCTTACACACAAAATATACTGTATATTTTTATTAGCCTGTATGTTGCCACAGGGCTACTCATTTTTAAAGTTACAAACTGCAATGGCTAACCTTCTTAGACTTCTTATTTAGCAATAAGGCATATCAGCTGTAATTTGTAATGTAATCACCTCAAAGAGAAATCAGATGAGGACTGTATGGAGCTGACCTGTCTCTTAAACTATGGTCTAGTAGTACTAGATTGAGGCTTGAATGCACCCATCAAACCTTCATGACTAAAGTTTGAGAAGAGAGTTACAGTATATTGCAGAGGACATGAGAGACAGAGTAATTCTGATTCTGCCTTGAATTAAATTACACAGTATTAAGATATTAATAAAAGGAAGATAGACTCTGTGCATCATTAACCAGCTAATTTAAATGGTGAACATAAATCATACATATATTTTAGCTGAAGTGTATGAACATGTATCCACTGCTGTTTTCTAATTTTTCTTCTATTTTGTGGTGCAACAAGCATAAAAGTAGATTTTTATTCACAGTATATAGATGAAGCAAACAATTAAAATGTACTTTAAGAAGAGTATACATACAA